CTCCTCCTCCTCCTCTTCTTCTAAAAAACGGATTCTTTTCATTCATCTGAGAACTGGAAAGGAAGAGGCTCTTTTTAAGCCCTGCTCAGATTTGTTTTTATTGAATTCTTTGAGGGGTTTCTTTAAAAAGGGCTTTCATCTATCTATCTATCCATCATATACGAGTGGCATTTATACGGCATTTATTTCTATATCTATCTCTCTATATCATCTATATCTATCTATCAAATCTATCTATCTATCTATCTAGCTATCTATCTATCAACATCTATCTAGCTAGCTAGCTACATCTATCTATCTATTTCTATCCATCATCTACCTATCAACTTCTATCAACAGCTATCCATCAATATCCATCCATCTATCTATCTATCTATCTATCTATCTATCTATCTATCTATCATCTATCTACCTCTCTCTCCATCTATCATTTATATTTATTTCTATATCTCTCTCTCATCTCTATCTCCTCCCTTCTCTGTGTGTCTCTATCAATTTCTTTCACTTCTCTTTATTTTTCTCTCTATCATCAGAGAGATTATCTCCCCCCCTCTCATCTCTCTCGCTAATCTCTCTTTATCTCCTCCTTCCCCCTCTTTCTCTCATCTCTGTTTCCTCTCATCTCCCTTTATCTCCTCTCTCCTCACTCTCCCATCTCTCTTTTTCTCCACTCTCTCTCCTCACACTCTCCTCTCTCTAGCCTCAATCTCTCCTCTCTCCTCTCTTTATCTCCTCTCCATCTCCCTCTTTCTTCCTCTCTCTTTCTCTCCTCTCTCTCTCTCCTCTCTCTTTCTCTCTCCTCCTTCCCCCTCTCTGTGTAAAAGAGAAAATGCAGAACTAGTTTAGATCTGTTCTCATTTTAGCATCCTTGCTTTAGACATCTACCATGGAAGCCTGTACTGAGTACAGATGGTGACGCTGGATGATACACAGCTATGAGATCGCCAGCAGGAATCCTCTGAATGTACTGCTGTACGTTCCCATACCGTTGTAAGCTAATTCTTTGCAAGGCATCAGGTTGGGATCTGGGGTTAATTGCCGTTGAGCTGATATGAAAGGATGGGTGATGGTGGTCAGAGAATAGCTTGCAAAAGGAAGTGTCTATTTGCAAAAATGCAGAGATCAAAGCAATGGGGTGCTTAGATTCACGGGGAAGGAGGGAATTCCATATCCCAGTACAACAGTTTGACCTTGAAAATGGAGTCTGCTTGGCATCTATAAGATTGGCAAAGATGTTTAAAGACAACTCAGCTAAATGTTGGAAGTGCCACCACATACCCGGATCTTATTATCCTATGTGGTGGGCATGTGGAGAGGCAAAGAAATATTGGACAAAAATTAAGACATGGTTGGAAGAGATGATACAACAACGTATTGAGCTGAATCCGGAAACATTTCTGCTGGGAATTCTACCTGAGATTTATACTAAAGAGAATGCATATTTAATTATTCATGTACTAACTGCAGCTAGAATTGTATTTGCACAACATTGGAAAAGTGTAGCGATCCCTATCGATGAGATAAAGAAGATATTAGAATGTGCAGAAATGAATAGACTAACATTAGCACTTAAAGAGAAAGAGAAAATGGAATATTATATGATTTGGGAAGTATTTTACCAATGGTTGGAGAACAAAAAAAAGGAGTTTGGAAATGAAGAAAACTAACAAATAAGAAAATACGCTTAGATAAAGATATAAAATGGCTAGTATGTGTATGATAAGAATAATGATGTTTAATGTTGATATATTATTGCTAGAAGATAGTAAGAAGAAAAATGAAGAGTTTTATAATGTTTAAATGCTTAATTTATTATAATACTAAATTTAGGGAAATAAGATTAATATGAACTTTGAAAGATGTGGCAAAAGAGGAACGATGTTTATACCCAGACAACACACCGTATAAGGACGCTTATAATACACTCCATAAGGACGCGGTAACACTCTCTACATGGGGCTGCCCTTGAAGAGCACTCGGAAGCTTCAACTGGTCCAGAATGCGGCTGCG